TGGCTCTTAGTATTAGGCTTTTCCCTGAGGAAATCTCAACCTCTTTTTTCATCTACCACTTGGGTTACGGACATCCCTTACTGTCTTTGGAGCAAATCACTGAAAAGCGCTTTTGGTTGTAATTTACCCACTATTGGAATTTTTCCTGCTTTTCAGATTAGTTCAAGCAATGCTGGAAGAAACTCCTTTCTTTGGTGAATTCGTCATCATTCTCAGTGTCACCTTCTTCGTGACACGCAACTCTCCAGTGAGGGTTGGAAATTCCTTCTTTACTTTACCAGATCACTTTGTTTGGGTCTCTTAGCACTTTTCATGGTAATTTCTTTCTGTTGAATATATGTGAACACATCAGCAATGGAGACTGTCGTACTCATTTTGCATCCTCGGTGCCTGGCATATAGTGGGCCTTCAGAAGTATCTTTGGAAACAATTGAAGATTTCCAGCTTTTTGGGTGAGGAAGACCCTTTTCTGACTGGCCCCAAATATTCCTTCTCTCATCCCACCAGCCCACACTGAGCTCCCTCTGGCTTCAGTTACAGTCAATGTCTAGAATGTTCATTGGCTGGTTCTCCTTACATATTCTGGGCAACTTTGTCTGCAGGAGCCTGATCCATAATTTTGCCTTCAAAAGTAAACCCCAGCTCTTTCCAGAAAGCCATGAGCTGCCCAGAATTCTCGGCAAGACCTGGGTTTTAAGTTTACAAAAGCAACCACTTTATTCTTGTCTCACTAGAACTGACCCCAAGCTGTGGTATCTGGCCAGCCAGACTTAGCTTGACTGGGCCCAGTATTGCCCTTGCAGTGTTCCAGGAATCTGGGGGACCAGCTCCCTCTCTCCACTGATGGCCAGCTAGCCAGACCTGTGCATCCTTCATAGACTTTGCACTGGCCTGCTGGGGCCTCTGCACTGAATCCAGTGACAGGAGGCTGAGCACAGGAGTGACACGGGATGGCTGGGATCTGTACTGGTGGCAACATGAAGCAGGCAGCTCCCCAGCTCTGCAGTGGCCTCCTCCTTCCTCCAGATAGATAAGCCTCACATTATACCCTAGACTCAGCTCAAGCTTAGTTCCTCTGCAAAACCTTAAGTATATGCTCCTAGGAAGAATTAGGGCTTTGTTAAATTCCCTCAGCACGGGGCCACGATGTATTAGTTACCTGATTTCAAGTCCATCTGCCTCATGAGGCAAGTTCATTTAGTGAAGACCTATGGTGTGTTGGGTGCTCAGGTGGAGAATCCGAGCACAACTGCTTTCCTTAACGAGGTCATAGTGTGTTGGTGGAGACAGAAACATGAACAGGAATGATCAGGGGACTGGATGGTTAGCCTGGACCTTTAAAGATGAATAGACATGACCAGACAGAGAAAGCCAGTGGTCGGCGTAGGGGATAGGGAGAAAATGAGGCAGAGGAAACAGTAGAGGCCAGACATCATGGCTTATTCTGCAAGTGTAAATTGCTCTCTGTGGTTAGGGCCAAATTCGGGTGAAGGGGCAGCTTCGTGGGAAATAAAAGGGATGAGGCAGACAGGGTCACACTGGAGTCTTTACTGTGGGGCAGGTGCTGGAGCTCTCATCGCACGGTGCTGAGCAGCAGGGTGGCATTAGATTTGCGTTAGAAGCAGCACCTGAACACTTGTGTGGGGGATCACTACCTGATTGCTGGTGAGACTCAGGCAGGGGGCTTAATTAGTAGTTTGCCTACCAGACAGCAAAGAGCTGCTCTGGGGGACATCTGAGAGGTAGAGCTGGCAGGATTTGCTGAGCAATGTGCTGTGGTGTTGAGGGAAGAATTTAGAATGGCTCCCAGATTTCTCCTTTGTGTGACCGGGTCCATAGAAGGCAGACCCCATTAGCAAGGGGCTGACACCTAGTAACAGGGTGATGAGGCTTTGCTCCAGGACCCTGAGAGGGAGAAATTGTAAACGGATGGCAACCCAGACACAAGCCGAGGTCGGTCTGCCTCTTAAAATCTGGATTAGGCTGATTGGAACCCACTTTTCTTGACCTGTGTCCCCCTCTGCCCCCTGGACTTCTGAGAGTTCTCAGGTTTAGATTCTTATGGTCACTTCTGGCTCTCAGCTCCTGCTTCTAGCAAACCAGTTCCACTCATGGGTCACCCTTGCCGTGCCAGACTCATGGCCTGCCCACCGCCATGTTGGCCCAGATGCTGTTTTCTTCACTGGGGGAGTATCCAGTAACTCATTCAAGGCCATGTGCACACAGCAGATGTTACATGAGATTTGGGGAGCTGGAAGGGGTTCACTCCATAGAAGTGCAAATAGCATGAAATTGCCTCTAAGATCTTCTCATTTGGCCAGGTGCGGTGGCCCACGCTTGTAATCCCAGCACTTTGGGAGGCTGAGACAGGTGGATCATGAGGTCAGGAATTCGAGACCAGCCTG